CAAATCCCAAATCCCAAATACTAGTAATTTGGAATTTTGGCATCCCAAATCCCAAATGATTTGGGATTTGGGCAACATGTATACTTTAGACTTTTATTCACTGCTATTCATAATGATTAATAGCTATTTTTATATATTTTTTTTATGTATCAGCTAGTTCACTTTTTATTTTTTTCTTTTGGCGTAATTCAATGGTGTATTGAATCTTAACCGAATTGTTAATGGATCATCTTCTAGTCTATCTAAATCAAATATAATAAATTCACCTTGCGTAAGTAGCTATTAATAACCATTGATGTACCTTTTACATTATCTGTATATTAACAAATAATATCTTCATATGAGCTACCAGAGTTAAGTAATTAGAATTTTCATGATCAATAAGTGAAATTTTATGATATTTCTGTGACATGTATATTGGACTAATATTTTTATGGCACTCTTGTATAAAAAATTGACTGATTTGATTTTGGATATATTCTGAGGCTAAACATATATCCTCAAAAATAATTATTGTACTTCTTTCAGATGAGAACAAATTTACACTAGGAATTTTTTCGGGTGAGATATAGGTAAATCTAATATTTTCGTAATATGGAGCTCTTGGATCACTTGTAATTAATTTGTACATGTGTCTAACAAATACCCATTTTGATTCATCAGGATAGTAATCGCGAAATAATAAATTTATGTCATTATGGAATTTAGCAATAAATGTAAAATCAAACTATAATATACATTAATGACATCAAATATATATTTCTATAAATCCTGGTCCGATTTAATGAATATATCAGCATTTTCATAAATATAGAATTCTATTGACCGAGACTGAAAGGTCACAATGTTGTTTTTTCCTGGATGATATGCAAATATATTTTTTTCTAACATTTTATTTAATTCTTCAACTTTATTGAAAAATTTCTTGAATTCTAAAAATTTAAGCTCCTTAGAATCCAACAAAGCACTAATTATACTTTTCTCTACTTCATAATACGGATTGTTTGGAAGGAGTTGCGCAGATTGGAATTTCTTCTCGACTTTAACTAGAATCGTCTGTTTAATGACTGCAGAAATAAAGTTAAATAATTAATTCAAAGTATAATCGCGTAAATTAATTTGATACAAAATGACGAAACCAATTCTTACCTTCAAAGGATTGTCTAGCAACAAAATCATCTGCAACAGACTTCAACTCTACAATACGACCACCAACCAATTCATATAATTTTTTTGCTTCCACCTCATTGATTTTATGCTTTTTAGTCAGATATTCCATTGATTCTTTTTCGCTAAGATCTCCAATCTCAATTACTAGCTGTTTTGCTCGTAACCAAACACTATGTGCTAAAATAAAAACACCAGTCTGTAATTTGTATTATTTTTTTTAAAAAGTATTAAAATTTGAAATACTTACATTC